GATGTGTCCATCGGGGGAGGCCACGGCGCCGGGCATGGGGAAGAGAGGGGAGAGAAGAGGGAAGAGGGAGAGAGAGAAAGGAAAAGAAGAGAAAAACAAAAAAAACAAAAAAAAAAAAAGCAAAAAGAGGGAAAAAAGAGGACTCCTCCTCTGTATTTCCAGAACAAATTTGACATTCACATCCAGCTATACAGTGCGCCGAATCCGAATCTGCAATAAAAGGTATACGTCATCACGCTCGTTTTTGCGCAAATCGACCCGAAAGGTGAATTTTCCGCTTTTGCCACAATTTCTGTCTCGTTTTGCAAAAAAAAGTTTCACTTTCACATTCATCTAGAAAACGCGCTGATTCCGAATCTACAATATAATGTGTACTTTGTCGGCCTCGGTTCCGCGCAAATCAACCTCAAAGGTGAACTTAGCAATTGGTGCACTTTTGTTGACAATCCATTTCTTCCCCCCCCCCTTTTACAGAACAAGTTTCATGACCATTGTGATCTACAAAATTAGCTGATTCCAAATCTGTAATAAAAAGTGCACCTCATCGTTCTCGTTTTTGTGCAAATCGACTTTGAATGTGTTTTTTTGCAATGTTGCCGCAAATCCTCTCCCCCACATGAGTTTTCGAAAACAGTGAAATGAACATTTTGATCAAAAAAATGCGCTTATTCCGAATGTGTATTCGGGAGTCCGCGTCATCCTGATGGGGTTCGCGCCAAAATTGGAAACTGCGTGGCAACAAGCAATGTTTGAAACGAAGCGGTGACGCCGAAACTGGAAAACACAGCGTCCCTTTTCAGGCTCCGTTTGGCACAACATGACCACGAAAGGAAACCACCGCCGGGCTTGATTGTAATAGGGTCCGTCGGGAGCATTGGATCACGAGGCAAGTATAAGGGTTAGGGTTAAAAGCTGGCCCCGGATTAAGTGTTAAGTTGCCTTCCAAATTTGGAACCACGTTTTTCAGAAGATCTAAGATATGTACTTACACCTATGAAATGCGCTGATTCCGAATCTGCAATAAAAGGTATACGTCATCACGCTTGTTTTTGCGCAAATCGAGCTCAAAGGTGAATTTCGCACGGTTTTACCATGGTTTCCCAAACCACTTCCCCTCCTCTGATTTTCCAGAACAAAGTTGAAATTCACATCCATCTATACAGTGCGCCGAATCCGAATCTGCAATAAAAAGTATACGTCATCACGCTTGTTTTTGCGCAAATCGAGCTCAAAGGTGAATTTCGCACGGTTTTACCATGGTTTCCCAAACCACTTCCCCTCCTCTGATTTTCCAGAACAAAGTTGACATTCACATCCATCTATACAGTGCGCCGAATCCGAATCTGCAATAAAAAGTATACGTCATCACGCTTGTTTTTGCGCAAATCGAGCTCAAAGGTGAATTTCGCACGGTTTTACCATGGTTTCCCAAACCACTTCCCCTCCTCTGATTTTCCAGAACAAAGTTGACATTCACATCCATCTATACAGTGCGCCGAATCCGAATCTGCAATAAACAGTAGAGGTCACCATGCTCGTTTTGGTGAAAATCAACGTCAAAGGTGAATTTCTCACGTTTTTGCATTGTTGTCTCCAACAATTCCCCCTAACCCCCCCGATTGTGCAGAGCAATTCTGATGCGAATATTTATCCACGATGTGCGCTGATTCCGAATCTGTCATAAAATGTGCACCTCATCTGTCTCGTTGTCGTGCAAATCGAGCCGGAATGTGAATGTTGCAAGTTTGTCACAATCCACGTTCTGTCCTTGTTTGTAGCAGAAACAGTACCGCGATCACAATCTCCTGTACGCGCTGATTCCGAATCTGAATTTACAAGCGCACTTTATGTCTCCTTCCGAATTCGGACGCACATAAAGTAGGGTTAAAAGTTGCCTCACGGTTAGGGGTTAAAAGCTGCCTCCCAGTTAGGTGTTAGGTCCCTTCCGATTTTGGACCCACTTTTTACAGCAGAGGTAAGATAGAGTGGCGTCTCTAATTCTGAACACTTTTTTTTCGCTGGGCTCCATTACAGAAGTGTTTTTAATTATTGAACACTCGTGTTTTAAGTTACTCGTCAGCTCTGAGGTGTGCGATCCGCTCCCCTTCTTGAATTTAGAGTGAACTCGGTCTTTCTCATCGATGGAGGGTGAAAGCGCAGCAGCAGAACAGAGCAGCAGGTGGCTGCAGGCAGTGGAAGCTGCTCCTGTGGGGGAAAAACGCGATGTCGCCCTCGCGGCTGCCCTCAAGCTCTTGTTCCCGGATCCTGTGGTCCTTCCAGGGGGCGAGATCTACCATCCCAAGGGCTGGTCATCCCGGAACGTCGCCAAGCTGGTGGGGCAAGCTGGCCATCAGTGCGGTCACACGACAATCCACAGCTGGAAGATGAAACACGCGCCTCAAGCCGAGTGGATCCGTTCCAGCCCGTTCAACCAGGTTCTCCAGCTCGTCAAGGACGGCCCGAAGCCCGGCGCACCAACCATCTTCACTCCTGATGAAATGGAACAGTGCATCCAGCTGCTCGAGGGGTTTGCGCGGGCCGGGAAGTGTCTTACGAAGAAGCAAGCTGGTGTCTATTTTTCAAAGCTGGCGGACAAGTCTCCTGTTTCAGGCGGTCCGCGTCGCCGCCGCTTTACCCAGAAGCAGCCCAGCCGCCAATGGTGGAAGGACTTTCTCCAATACTGCGACGGCCGCCTCGCCATCCGCAAGGGGTGAACGTTGGAGCTCTCCAGGATCGCTGCTTTACAAGATGAAACGCTCCATAGTTTCCCGCGTCTTCTAAAACAATTGTTCGACGAGCATCCCCTTCTTATGCAAGAGCCGGGACGGATTTCCAACATGGATGAGACGGAGATCTCGGCACGGTTCATTCCAGGCGATGTGATTGCTACCAAGCAGTCAGACAAGCGCAGTGCGAATGTGGAAGGAGCACAGCAAAATTCCCTCGGACTGCACATCACGGGCGTTTTCGCAATCTCCGGCGACGGCAAGTCTCTGCCGCTGCCAATGATCATCTTCTCAAAGAACTGCAAGTACCGCAGTGCGACGGAAGGTATCGGTGCCAATACAGCTGTATTCGAGAGGTCACGCAACGGGTACATGACGAAAGAGCTGTTCAACAAGTACATCTTGTCTTGGAAGACGACCATGCGTGAGACTTACAAAGAAGGGCCCTTGCTTCTCATCATGGACGGGTCGTCGACGCACCAGATTTGTTCAAATGTGCTTGCGAGCTTCCTGGCAGAAGGCATCCATGTCCTAGTTCTACCCGCGCACACAAGCACCGAGACGCAGCCGCTTGACCGAACCGTGTTTGGTTTTTCAAGACCGCGTTGCAGAAGCTGTACGCGAGGGCAATCGAGTCCAAAGTGTTTGAGGTCGACGACAAGATGCGAGTTCATTGTGCCATCCGAGCCTGGAACCTGCTGATGAAAAGACCGCGCTGTATTCGAGCAGGATTTCGACTGACAGGCATCTACCCGCTTGATGAGACTCTCTACAAGTCGTGGGTCCTGAATCCAACCCCTCCTGTATCGGAAATGGACCAGGACGATATTGACCAATATCCGTCTCCGAACCCTCCGTTTCCAGCTCTGGATCGTCAGGACACGGTCCCGATGAACGATTTATCAATCGCGACGCCTGCTTTCACTAGCAGCATGTCGGCGTCACGTTCCTCGGATGCAGAGGCCTCCACTTCCGCCACGCCGGCTTCGTCTCCGCCCTCCCCGACGGCACCGCACGTCTCACCGATCGTTACCATCAAGGACCTTGCGAACACGGCCTTCAGCAACATGTCTTCTTCACCTCTCGAGAGCGACATGCGACGCGTTGAGCACCAGGCGCTGGTGAAACTCCGCAAAATGCTCTCGGTCCCGCTCACGTTCCAAGAAGTCATCACAACGGCCAAGTTCTCGCTCAAGCTGCCGGCACATCCCATGCACAAGGCCAAACCGGCACCGGCCTACATCGCGACGACTCCTGAAAGGCTGCAGTCGACCTTGGCAAAGGAGGCAGTCGCGAAGGAGAAGGAGTTCAAGGAAAACCGGTTGTTGCCTGTCCGCTTGGAACACAAGGCCAAGCTCGCCGCATACGAAAACGAGAGGAGCAGGTTCAACGAGGAGATTGCAAGGCTTGACAAGCAGCTCCGGGAGCTTCAAGCACAGCCAATGACGCCCTTGCTCCAGGCCGAGATCGAGAACACGCAGTTGCAGCGCCAAGTGGCCGCGCTGGAGCTCGGCCAGCTCAAGCAGCCAACTCGTGCCTATGGTGGTCGCAGAAAGACATCCCCGTCGGGTGCCCAAACGACGTCTCGACCGAAGAAGGCGGCTTCCCGCGCTCCCGCGAAGAATCGATCAGTGGGAAGCAGCCCTGACAGTGACGACCCCGAAACCGACGAGGACGACGAGGATGAGATCGAGTGGAACTCTGACGATGATGGAGAGCTTGAAGTGACGCGCACTGACTCACAGAACAGCTTAACGACGTTCGCCCTGAATGCAGCCGAAGAGCGGCATATTGCGGAAAATCCGTACGTGCCTCGCGCGCGCCGTGCCCGCGAGCATGGGCACGATTACAACGAAGATGCACCTATCGTTCTCTGCAACGACCACGCGTCGAAAGTCCCGATCAGGTTGTGCAGGCGCCTCCGGCGCTTGTAAACCATTCCCAGCAGCCAAGTCACCTTGGCTTTGCTCCCGCGGTGCAACCATCGCCCTACTTGTTCATGTAATAAACAAACATGTTGAGTACATCAGTTTCCACGCAGAGGGAGGTGGCGGGGACCGCGTTTACGCGAAGTCGGATTCGGGGTGTTCAACCCGTTTCAGCGTCCAGAGGGGGCTACAGCCGCTCGGGCGAGGTTCCGTGCCCGCTCTTTGCCAGGAATAGGATGGCCTACCTTCATAGCACATGTGCTACAACGAGAAGGGCCGGTCTGATCAGTGTGGGCGCGACCCCAGAGAAAGTGTCTTTAATTATTGAACACTTCAATGGTAGTCCAGCAAAATGAACAAAACTGACACAGCGGAAAATTTTTTTACCGGAATCCGACCGGAATCCGCACCGGCAAAATTAGAATTCCGCGGAATCTCTCTTTTGCCCCGAATTTCGACCGGATTTCGACATGCTTGTCCGACATGGTTTGGCGACGTTTGATTGGTGGAAAATGACTTTTTCTTGTCTAAAATATTAATAAAAATATTTTTAATATTTTATTTTATTTTTTTGCGTTGCTACATTTGGACGAAAATACAAAAATCTCAGATCGCCCCCGCCTGCACCTCCTGATGCTTTTACCCGGATTGGACGGCTTGCCTGACAACACGCTGGCCACGCGTTTGGCCACGCGTTTGGCCACGCGGTTGGGCACGCGGTTGGGCACGCTGTTGGACTCGAGCACTCGGTGGGCGGATCGGAACTTCGCTTCGCTCCTCCGTGCTGACTCGTGCCTGTTCAACCAGGAATCACACATTAGTCACTGTTCTTTCTCGTGCACTACAGCTGACGGGCGGGAACTTACACGTTTTCTAGGACGGCTGCTGTTGTCGATGCTGCTGGTTTCGATGCTGCTGTTGTCGATGCTGCTGTTGCTGATGCTGCTGGTTTCGATGCTGCTGTCGTCGATCCCGATATCATTGTAGTCTCCACTTAGATCAGTGTGGCTATTGATGTCTAGGAGGGGCCGTGACACTTGTGGTCTGGCATTCAGTAGAACTGCAAAGCCAGCAGTTTTTTGTATCCCGCGCGCCGATTCATACACCTATCAAAAAAGCATCATCTCAAACTCAACATTATGTCTGGTGTGTTTTCCACTCGCATAGCACTGTACATGTACTGCAAAGCCAGCAGTTTTTTGTATCCCGCGCGCCGATTCATACACCTATCAAAAAAGCATCATCGCATAAGTACAAAAAAATCGTGTTTTTGGCGCCAACTTTCGTCTTTTTGGCGCGAACTTTTCGAAAAAAACATTTTCCCGCCATTTCGCTCCCTCTCTGTTCGAACTTTTCGAAAAAACATTTTCCCGCCATTTCACTCCCTCTCTGTTCCAAAGTTTGGTGTTTTCCCCGCTCTCTCGTGCTTCTGCAGTTCTTTCGCGACTCACCCTGCATCCAACTGGTGGATTCGACCGAGGCCGATGCTTTCCGCGCATCCGCACGGTCGCCATCGATCTGCAGGGAGCAGAACGACCAGAGATCTCTTCGTTCTTTTTTTTCTTTTTTCTTTTGTCTTTTTTTCTTTTTCTTTTTTTTCCCTCTTTCCCTCTGTCCTGCCCTCCTCCTGACATCTGCAGAGCTTGCTTGTAGTGGCGTTTGCACAAACAGAGAGTGGCAAAGCTCAAAAACAGGCAAGCATCGCAAGTCGCCCGGCGCTCTGCGGTGTTCGCCTTCTTCTACGTTTTTCTTTCCCCAGGAAACACTAATGAGCACATTGTTATCGTCGGCCATTGCGATCTACACTCGATGCCACAAAAAATAAAAATAAAAAAAAAGACTGAATGAGTCGAGCTTGGACGAAAAGATAAAAATAAAAATTAAAACAAAATAAAAATAATCAAAAAATTAAAAAAAAATACAAAAACTAAAAAAAAAAAGGAAAGAAAACCACCCAGGTGCGAACCTGGTCCTGAAAACTGCCGAGACGACTTGCTAGCAAGCAGCTCGACGTCAATCATGGGCGAAATGGGTTTCGATCGTAGGCTTCAAACTTAGGATTACCATCTGGCTCCAATCGTACCTATTCTAACAATAATATGTTCATCTAAATGCCGCAATACTATAAGACGAGAAAAGGCGCACGAAACGATGTGGCAAGACGCATAAATGGTGCCGACAAGCTCGACTGCTTCGTTTCATCGTTGTTTTTGCCGCTGCATTGTCCCCGCCCGCCCCGCCTCCTGGATAGAGTAATGTTGTTTTGAATGCTCGTTGTAACGGTGTATCGTGATGTCGTGGATCGGGCGTAGTTTCGATGTTGGTCAAGGGAGAGTCGTTGCGACAAACAAGCGTTCTTTCAACACACCATTTCAACTCCACTGTTCGGATTATCCCATCATCAAGCCGAGAGAACCCGGTTATTTCACTCATGCATTACACACATTAGCACTACACCCCAAATATTATGTCATGGCACACGACTCTAGGCCTTCGAAAGCGAAATTCAAGTCGGCCCAAGAAGCAGCCAACAATGAAAGCTTGTTTATTGGCGCACACTGCTCGCTCGGTGTGACCTTTGACTTTGTTTCCATTGTAAAAATATATTTACAAGGGATCTGAACCAGGCAACGACTAACTACCACGGATTTGCCAGTGATACGATCAAGGAAAGTGACCGATTTGCGCTCACTCATTTTTTTATGTCTCAAGCTTGGCGTTCCTTTGAGCGGTGCATCTGCAGCCAGTGCGGAGACGACTTTCACAAAGATCCATGTACTTCGGTACACGTATGGATGACAGATGAAGCGAGAAGTCGCCATCGCCAGAGCAATCAGCCGAACACGGGAGTCTGCCCATGTAATTACTGCACCGTGTCGGCCATCAAGCAGTTCGCTTTTAGCAACGGCCCTTTCAAGCAAGTTAACCGGTCAACTTTCTACAACCACACCAAAAACATCCATATGCAACCGTCGCTTCTGTCCTCGAGGAATTCCCCGCGATGCAACAGCGCTTCGAGGCGCACTTTGGAGTGGGGCAAACTGTTCCCATAGAGGTAGATCCTGCTCTCTCGGGTCCGCCACCGCTCGTATCCGAGCCAGCTGCCATGGAAGTGGATGACTACGGTGATGACTCTGGCGACATTTCTCGAGACTCAATGGTAAGGGTTGCCGCGAAGCTCGCAACGAGCGGTGCGAGCACAACAGTGATCACTCATCCTTCTGTTCTTCTGTTCTTAGGATGTCGAACGCGACAATGACAATGATTACGAAACGGAAGACGAAGCTAACGAAGCTGACGTTACTGAGAACGATGCCACGAACAACGCCACGAGCGAGCCGACTGCACCACCGGCAGAACCCGAACCGAACCACAACCGACAAGCCCTAACGATCGCCTGGCTGCTGCATACCGGCTTCTTATCCAGTCTCTGCATAGCATCAAAGATAAAGTCACAAAAGTTGTCTTCATCAACATAAACGCCTGGAATCCATCAACTGGCCTTCCTTTGTTATGCGGAAGCCTCGACAGTGCACTGTCTACCACAAGTCGTACAATGCCGAGGAGATGCTCAACTTCGTCCTGGTTTGCGGCAAGCACATCTTTCTGGGATTGGTGACCAAGAGCGTGCAAAACATCTGGTGGAACTTTTCAGAAATGACGCGAATCGCCATGTCCAAGGTGGTTCAGGTCGACAACGACTCGATTACCTCGCTCGCGAAACTGTCAAACGAGACCATCAAGAGCGTTGCTGCAGTCTTTGGGACTTGTAATGTGCCCATTACTACCCACCATCTGTCCCATCTGGCCTGGGCTTGCCAGCAACACGGCCCGCCTGCACATGTATCGACATTTCCGTTCGAGCGCGCAATCAACCGCTACGGCCGCCTCATCCGTCCTGGTCCACATGATGACATTGTTCCAAGACTGGTAGCCAGAATAGTCAAGCACGTCGACGATGTGGTTCCCTACGTTGCTGGTCGCGAGTTTGGCGTGCTGACTCGCTGTCCTGTTACTCCAGAGAAGGTCGATAACATCGTGACCAGTGTGCTCACATGCGAGAATAGAGGTTCATCTGTTACGGTCTTCACAGCGGCCCTGCGGAGGGCGCAACTCCAGGGACAAGTTCACGCGTTCAAAACGTTGAAGATGTCATTGTGGGGCTCGCGATCTGTTTCGCTCGCCAAGGTCGGCTGCGAGGCAGTTCTTCAGATTGGGCCCGTGTTTGCCAAGCCAGCCATGTTTTGGCGTGTCGAGCAAACGATCTACGTTGAGATTGAAGTGTACTACCGGCCGACCGGTTTCGAGTATGGCAGAAATCCCGTTTACACGTCACGGACCCCCCACACCCACGAAATCGCGCTTCTCGAACCATTTGGCTGCAGCGGCTACTGTCACGCATTAACACCCGACCAACTCGAGGGGCTGAGGCAGACATTCCCACTGGAAGACCGTCCGTCAAGCTTAAATGAAAACCTATTCATCTTCGTTCCATGGCATTTGAATATGCGTGACTAATAGGTGTTCATTGTTGAGTGTATTTGTCTATATTCTAATAGAATGAGAGCTATATCCTGAGTGGAGATGCGGTGCAATTGGTGCAATTGGTGCAGTCATTTGGCTGGCGGGGCTCGACAGCGCTCCTGCGTCTATCCGACCGTCCCCGTCCGCCCTCGCCTCGAAAACAAGGTTTCCAGACCCGTGTCACATCATCCGACATGTAAAGGCGCGAGCTGAGCTTGCCTGGAGCGCAGGAGCATGGTTGTGCTGATCCCAATGGTCCGCCAGCCAATCCAGCCTCATCGTCGGTTTGCGGTCCAGCACGGTCCCTGCTGTCCGAATTCAACAACAGTGCACTACAATCGACACATACATCACAGTGCAAGTGAAAAAAGCGAGCCAAACTGACGAATTCGAGTCTCAAGACGATGAGGGGAAAACGAGCGAAAAAACTGGACCGACCGGAATCCGGTAAAATTTTCCACTGTGCACATTG